CCGGAATGTAAATTTCGCCAAGCGAAAGGTCAGGAGCTAAGAAGGCCGAATATGCATGTAATTCTCGTGCGGCTGTCTTTGTGTCTGATGCTAAGGAGGCTTAATATGCATGTAAATCTCGTGCAGCTGTCTTTGTGTTTGACGTCAGTGGGCGGGGATTATTGAAATTGACATGTGAGGCCTCTTGTAATTAAATCTATTAGTCTACATTTTTAAAATCTAAATTTACAATTTTATTTCACAATGAAATGGAAATATAAGGAATTACTGACTTCGCCCGTTATGCAAATTATCCCTCATTTCCAACTATCGTTGATGTCCCTGGCATACTCTACTAACTAGACAGTGATTCCTTTAAAATAACCCTATACAGTAACATAAGAAATATGCACATCATTATAACCCTACAGTAACATAATAAATATTCACATCATTATAACCCTACAGTAACATAATAAATATTCATGAGAGGTCATTATAATCTTACAGTAAAAGAATAAATTTATATTCACGTCATTATAACCCTACAGAAACAAAATACATATTCAATGTTTTATAACCCTTTATAATAGAATATATGTACAATCATTTGGTATTGTACATGTAAATTTAAGTATTACTTAACTAATTTTTTTTCTCCTGAGTTATTACAGTAAAATCAATATTTCTTTACCAAATCATCAGCCACTATGAGGATGATATGTGGTCTGGTTGTGGCTGCAGTTGTAACATCACACAAAACAACACTGAATAGAAACAGAAGTCTACAGCAATTCCTCACCATTGTCTACAAAAAAGTATCAACAATAAAACTTATGCAGGGGTGAACTTATTTATGTACTCAATGTTACTATATTTATTTGATCTCATACATATTTTCTTCTCAAAAGAGCTATTGATTTTAATAAAAATTCAATCTTTCTGCAGGCAACAGCTTGAAAATCACACAATACCTGAATCTTTGACAATAAACAAGGACTGCATCCACAATTTTTTTTTCAATGGGTTATTACCATAATCTCCATACTAAGCCCCTTTGGGTGCTTGGAAAATTGCAAAAAAGGGATGTTATTAAGACAAAGGGAGGTCTTTAGGTAGTTCAAGTTCTAATCCTATAATCATTAAATGACTTTTGATAGACAAAATGTTCAGATTCTGTCAATCTGATAAATTTAAAGATACACATGTAAAACAGATCACCAATGCAGCATTAAAATTATTTACTGTTGCATTAATTCTCACAAGGTGTTGTTTGCATTTTGAACCTTACTATGTTGGTTTCCAGGTTTTCTTTAGTTTGTATTCTGATAAATTTGCAACCAGTCACACCAACACATGATCAAATAAACAATTTAATCAAACATATTCTTTTTCTATCCATTTGGAGGTGTGACTTGTGGATTTGGAAAATTAAACAGAGCACTAGCTTATTCTCTGAAAATGGGTAAATATTTCAGGGGAAACTTATAGGGGCAGGGGTTCTTAATAGGGAGAACACATTAGTAATTAGTCCGAAATATCTGACGTTTTCCAGGCTTTTTTCACAATTTTGATATTTTACGTGCCAGGAAAAAGTCAGAACTGGCGCCATAATGAAAACTGGAAATTTCACCGTCTCCAACCGGAGCTGATTTTCGATACTTGCGAACTGAATTAAATGCCGAACTTACCATTTATCAGTAGCACAATGCTCATAGTATTCACCAATATTGATGAAAAGAAAATATCACCCCACATTTCGATTTTGTCTTGCAAGATTTTAAAATGCATGAAATGAAAAGAAAACTCGACCGTCTGATAAAATGTTTTCACCAGATTGTATATTTCATAAACAAACCCATATAAACGATGTTGGTGAGTACTAAAGGCATTGTACTATTGATAAGTTGTGAATTCAGGATTTAATTCGGTTCGCAAGTATCGAAAATCAACCTGAGAATGCTGCCTCCAGTTGGAGGTGGCGAATTTCCAGTTTTTGTAATGGCGCCAGTTCTGACGTTTTCCTGGCACGTAAAATATCAATATTGTAAAAAAAAGCCTGGAAAACGTCAGATACTTCAGACTAATTAGTAATATGCATTCATTTCTAGAATGACTGAACCAATTTTGGTAGATAATATTTAATTAAGGGAAACAGAAATTGTAAATTTTTATTTTATTTAATTTGGGTCACGTGGTCAGGTTTTCTTTGTATTCAAATTCCATAGCCTATGTCCCAGCGTAACTACCAATTGCCTTGCATTAAGAATGAAGCTCTGTTCACTTAGTGTTTGTAATTTTGTGAAACACTGCATGATCATGTGAGCAAGTCACCTGCATGTATATAAATGTATTCCGGAATTATTGTGTCTTTTATAGTAGTTTCGGTTTTGTTTTTATTGTACACCGGAAAAGCGGGAAAAGAACAAAGAACTCTCATGCTGTATTTACATCTGTGTACCTACCGAAATTAAAATCATGTAAACATCTTACAGTTCATTGCCAATTGACAGGTAATTGACTTTAGCTCTATTTTTATTGATTTTGTCAGATGCATGAGTTACCGTAGCTCTATTACTGTACTTTCGGTTTAAGAATGTAAACATGCTGTTTACATGGGTTGTGAACATGTACAACAAAGTATTACTGAGTAGTTATTTTCCAATTTTACATTTAGAAATCCTCACTGTGTTGCATAATATTTATGTAGGTTTGTAAATTCGTTCATCTTGATTATATGTTATATGCATGTTGTTATTTACATATTTTTGCAGTTTCCTACACATTTGACCTAGTTTAGGTACCTTTATCTTCGAGGTGTATTTAAAAGCATCATTGTTCACAATTTACATTAACAATAGAATATTTTGTACACATGCATAACAGCAATGCGCATCAGTACTGAAGCAGAAAACCTATTATTCTGTGCAAATGTATGGAACGCAGAGGTAGTCATAATTCAGTTCTGTTTAAATGAATGTTTTGATTAAGTAAACTTCATGTTAAATAAGAACAGGTTTAGGGGATTGTTCCACGCATATGTCTTTTGATTTACATATATTGTGATGTTAGATACATACAGTTATGTACTGGATATTAAGTAGGTTCAGGTCAAATAGACATGAGATGGTCACTTATATACAAGTTAATGCAGATAGTGTTCACTTGACAAGAGATTTTAAATGAAACTTGTGCCTAGTGAAATAGAGATATTATTGTACAATTTATTACAAAATTGTGTTCATTCAGGAAGATATTTGTACATTGTACATATTACTTTATGTGTTTTTGTTTTTTTATTGTAGATTGTTCCTACCACCTTTTCTTGATATAATAAAATATGGAAAACTACAATCGTCTTCATCTGCTACTTGGTCACAATCATGCTAATGTCAAAGTTTAAAAATTAAATCAAACTCCAAGGACAAGGACATAGAGAAAAAAAAGTCTTGTCACAACGAATACACATGTGAATTATCAGGGGCCTATACATGATAGGTATATGTTAGTTATGTACAAACTACAAAGCCCTGACAAGAACACCAACCGTTCAAAAGTTATGCCATATGACGGCATGACCAAGATTCAAGTTTTTGCGCACAAAAAGACAGACACAGACCAAAAATTATATGCCTTAAATTTCTGATTATGGGAGCATAAAGTTGCAGGTACTTTACCTGTCTTCGAGTCATACGACAGATCGTGCTTATGGTGAAGTTATGCAGCTGCGCTCAAGCAGTGTTTTTATTTTTTGTCAGCTGACTTGGTGTACCTCGATCCCGAGCTAAATGACTCTCAGGCTAAAGCATAAAAAATTAAAAAAAATCCTTTGTTACAACGCGAAATGTAATAACAACACAAAATGTAATAAACTGTAATTGTTACATTTTGCGTCGAGATCAACGTAGAGAGAGAGAGAGAGAGAATTTTATTTTTGCTGGTCTGCAATGCACATGATTTGTGAAACAGTATTGAAATCTTAATTGTCAAGAAACCCCCTTCCCGCTTTACACCTGCCAGTGAAAATAAATAGATTTCTTTTCTAAATTTCATGCGTGTGCCTATTAAAAAGCAAACTAATACACTGTTCAACGAAATAACACCCCTCCCCCCCCCCCCCACACACGCGCGCGCGCGTGTGTGCAAGCACGTTTCTAATTTGCAACACCTATGATTTGTATATCAACTGATTTTAAATGGTTAATGAAATCAATATATGATGAAATCAGACCTATTGTAAGAATTAGCATATGTTTATTTTTCCTTTTGTTTTATTTTCTTTCCGTTTATTTTCTTCGTCCACTACTCAATTGAAATTTATTCTCAATCTGACTGACCAAAAAGTGTGTAATTACATTTTGCGTTGTTGCATTTTGCTTAATCTCGACGCAAAATGTAATAACGCAAAATGTAATAATCCTAAAAAGTCTGTCTTTACATTTTGCATTATTACATTCTTCGTTGATATCGACGCAAAATGTAATAACGCAAAATGCAAAAATAATCCTGGTTTATTACATTTTGCGTTTTTATTACATTTCGCGTTGTAACAATCCTTGAAATTTTAATTTTTAGCAAGAATGCTATTCATATACTATCAGGATTAGTAAGTAGCCATATTTTCATTTTAATGAATATATATAATTTACAACAACATTAAGGGGAGGAATGGGGTGTTGCAAAATTTCCTCTTTTTTTAAATCAAAAAAAAGTTTTTCGGTTGAGTGGTTATGGCACGAACACCCCCCCCCCCCCGATTAATTTTTGGTTGATCCGCCTTGTTAAGCAATGCTCTATCTTCGCCTGTTAATATGTGATCATGTACATTTATGTCAAAATTTTACCATCAATAAAACTGCCATCTATAAAACCACAAATAAACGAACATGTATCTGAAACCTTTTTAATGGTTAGAGTGGTTGATAATACACGACATTCTGTAGTCCTCGGTTTGGAATTCCAATGTAAGTAGTAACACCTGTACAAAAACCACAGAAAACACAGAACATGGTCATAACACGATGAACCACTATGTTCTGACTGCTAATGGGAGGGTATTTTGGACGCTACTCGCGTTTATAATACCTGCAGTTATTACAGGTTTGTAGATATTCTTACGAATTAGTAATTCTAGTGTAGTACTTGAAGATTAGTTGACTCCTTGATTCAAATATTTTTTTGCTGAACATTTTTAGCAGATTTAAGTTAACTATACACGTATATTTTATTACTGCAGTTTATTTTAGCTGCCCGAAAAGTTGGGTGAGATTTCGCGACAAATGTTATTTCTTCAGCAGCAGTAAAGCTACCTGGACATCTTCATCGGTCAGAATTTTAGTTGTTTTTCTTCATTTTTAACACTTACAAGATTTATATGATCGAATATCAGATTTTTTCCCCTTGAGTATTTCACCAACAAGAAAATTGGGCTGTTCCACTTTACATCTTCTTTAATTTCAACTGCAAATATTAGGATTTTTTTGAACCTGTTCTTAAAGTGTATTTTTTCATTGGTGGATTTTTTTTTCAGTACGTCTGTGCCGAGTTGGGAGGGACTCTGGCCCACCTGGAGACGAAGGAAGAAAGTGATTTCCTGGAGGAGATTGTGTACAATGAAGGTGTGAATTCCATTAAATCTTTACAGTTACCATGCTCTACTACATGTACCATGGCACCGGTTTGTTAAGAGGGTGGGTGGTTGTGGCCATTTTTAGACTATATTGATCTCCTTTAGAAGAAAAGCTCCATATAAAGATATACAGAAATGATCAAATTTTAAAACTAAAATGTATGAAATTTTTCTTTGCCAAATGATAGTTGACGGCTTAAAATATCATATCTAACAATAAAGTTATATCTGATGGTTAATTTGTTGACCCCCCAGCCTCCTTAAAATAAAGATTTTTAAAAATCTCCCGCTGTCGTGGTAGTAGATACAAACATTTATATTTTATAAACGTGCAATAGTCTTTCCATTATTCAAACTAAATAGATGTATCGGTATTTTGATCTCTCTCGATCTCTCTTTCTGATGACTAGAGATGAAAAGATTAAACTTTATCGTTATTTCCAGCCTACATTGGGTGCCTCAATGACGGGATTACTCGGCTCTTTGATGGAGATTTTTACTATAGTAAAGTGATGACCAATAAAATGTGTATACAAAAATGCAGACAACATTACTTCAAGTTTGCTGGAACACAGGTACTGTAATGTTAGGGACCTTATTTTTTTTTTATACCTTTTTCTTAAGAAAACTACATGTAAGACGATCATTCACATTTAATTAAGAACTTTCGACAATGATTTTGTTATTTATTTTATTATTTTTTGTTGTTGCTGCCGTGAAAATAATTAATTCAGCAGTTCTTTTGAATACAATATGTATACATTTTAAGGCCTTATCAGTCGATCAAGTGGTTTATTGCTAGTGATTTTCTTGCTTCACTATGTGAAAGGGAGCATTATTTCATTGACCCTCCCTTCCAGGTCCCGAGTAAAGTCGCCAAGTATATTCAAAAGTCTTCGTTACTTAATTGCCATCTAGCAGACAAATTGTTTGCATAAAAAGAGAGCAATAGTTTCTTTTAAAAATGTGATTTTTAAAATGTCCTCTAGGTCATGGGTTCAAACCCCAGAGTGGGGCTAGGTTGATCGTGAATTGAGTCTGTAACCCATAAATATAAGATGCTCGTATGTGATTAAAGATGGCTTGTGTATAGACTGTGTGTTCAAAAAATGTTGCTAATGTTTGTCAAGACCGATAGTCGACGTCTTTTCTTGTAGTATTTTGGACAGTGTTTCTGTGGGAACGCGACATGGAAAAAATTTCAAAAACATGGCCAGTCCCCAGAGGGAGAATGTAAACTACCTTGTTACGGAAACAAAGGGGAGAGTTGTGGAGGACATTGGAAATTATCCGTTTATTTAACAGGTATAATGTACGAACTTCACAATTATGTTATGGTCTAATAATTTTTTATGCCCCCGTAATCGAAAATTTTGGGGTTATAGTTTTTGGTCCGTTCGTCTGTCTGTTTGTCTGTTAATCTGTTTGTTGTCCGCAAAAACTTTAACCTTACCCATAACTTTTAAATGATTAGTGCTATAGTGCTTTCATATTTCACATGTGTATTTCTTGACAAGACCTTTCTTTGGATACCAACTTTTTTGACTTCTTGACCTTGGAGTTTGATCTACTTTTGTAAAATTTATCCGTACTCTAACCATAACTTTTGAACAGTTGAAGCTCGGGCTTTCATATTTCACAAGTATATTCCGCGTGTCCAAACCTTTCTTTGGATAAATATTCTTGACCTTTGAAATGGAACTATTTTGAAAACTTTTAACCTTGGCCATAACTTTTGAACTGTGAGCACTAGGACTTTCATATATCACATGTGTTATTCCTTGTGACAAGAAATTTCCTTTGGGTACCAACAATTTTTACCTTATGACCTTGACCTTGGAGTTTGACCCCCCCCCCAAAAAAAAATAACCCTGCCTATTACTTTTGAGCGGTTGCTTTTAGGGCTTTCATACTTCACTTGTGCATTCTTGTGACAAGACCTTTCTTTTGGTACCATTATTTTTTGTCCTCATGACACTGACCTTGGAGTATTACCTACTTTTTGAAAAAACTTTAACCTTTGCCATATTTTATGAATAGTTAGTACTAGGGCTATTATATTTCACATGTTTATTCCTTGTGACAAGACCTTTTTTTTTTGGTATCAACATATTTGAACTCTTGATCTTGGAGTTTGACCTAAATTTGAAAAAAAAAACTTTAACATTGGCTTTGAGCTTCCATACGGGAGGTATCAGTGTTTCACAAACACATCTTGTAGAATTACTGTCTAGCTTGTTGGGTATTCCAGAACATCAACGGCAGTTGGAAATGGGGATAATTTACGCTTAACGGGTGAAGTTGTAAATATCGAGAAATCAACATACTAGTACTTAACTTTCAGAGTTATCACAGAGAAAACATTTGGAAATGTAAATAATATATGACTCGCGATCACGACATTCCCAGTATTAATTGATCATGTTTTTCGTGTTTGTTTGATACATAAATTAAGTACCAAAAAATCGTTTTTGTTGGGCTCGATATTTATGTACATGCATTATAAACAAAAGAAAACGTTGATGAGGTAAACAGGTCTCAATAAAATCAACAAACTTTTCATGTAGGCTATACCAATTTTTCCGAGTACCTGAGTACTCGATCGGAAAATTGTCCGAGTATCCCATTATCAAATATTGACCGATTTGACATTCGTAGTTCTTTGCTGTTGTTGCAAAGTACTACTGAAGTTTCTCCTTCACTGTTGTTAATGTATCTTTTTGTAAAGATTTTGAAATCCAATAAAGGTTTGGTAATTCAAATTAAATTTGGTTGTTGGGAATTATTTTCGCGCGTTCACACTTGCAAACAATTTTGCCCCTTTTTAAAATCACACAGTCACAGTTCTGTTTAAGAAATCATACTATCTTCCTTAAATTCTCCCGTCTTAAATTCGCCCACTAGTGTCTAGAGCGAAAGGGACGAAAATTTCCCTGTATACAGTATTGAAAAAATGATTTTGAAGAATCTCTTCTTTCGAAAAGGAACTGTGAGTTTTAGTTGGATTACCACGCGTTGTTTTAGTTGGATTACCACCTTTAGAATTAACTCCAAGTTCATATTAAAATATAATTATAATAATATATATTACAAACAACGACTATGTTCCTAAATATTTTCTTTTTCAACTGGAATCAGTAAATACTAATCATGTAATCTAATTCTTTTTTCACTTCTGAATTACGGAATACAGAAGGACAGATGGTTTTCATTTTGCAACTCAGGCGTTTAATACAAGATTTCAATATCCATTTTATAGTTTTATCTATATTACCATCTTATATTTTTTATCTATTTTAACAGTTTAAATGTAACCTCCTTCATATTTGACCCCACATTCTGACATAATCTTTAACAGAACTCCTTATATTTGTGTAACTGTGGCGTCACTGAAAAGATCGGGGTTGAAAGGAGGTGAAGAACAGGAAAACGTGGGAGGATTTTGTAACCTATCAAATTCTATTGTTCTGGTATTGTGACCCCTCTTTTCATAACCTATCAAATTCTATTGTTCTGGTATTGTGACCCCTCTTTTCATAACCTTTCAAATTCTATTGTTCTGGTATTGTGACCCCTCTTTTCATAACCTATCAAATTCTATTGTTTTGGTATTGTGACCCCTTTTTCAGACCTCTTCCTCGTATATTCAGGCTAAAAAAGCAAAAGTTTAAAGTAATTTTTCGCAGAAAACTCCCAGGGTAAATATTTGGTTAAGATAAGAGGTAAAGGGATGTAGATTCAGCTAAATGTATATTCTAATCGAGGATAAAAAAAATAAGCTGACAAAAAGAAATGGAAAGTCTTGTGTCAATTTGGATTAAAGCAAATTATGAATTCCAGACACTGACATTGAACAAGGAATATACTGTAGACGTACTTTTTTCCGCGTGGGAATAATTAACGCTATGAACGCGGTCACATTTTTTCTGAAGAAATTTGTCACAGCGTACTTAAAGTGTATTTAGGAATGAAATTGCATTAAGGAGGATTTCTTCTCATATTTCTTGTATTTAAAAATTGTTGAAATTTTCATAATTTCAAGAAACTTTATCATAAAGTGATGGTATCAATTAGATTGAATTTGACCGTTTTATTTTAATAGCAAGGTCAGGTCAAGGTCATTATCTTTTTCTTTGACCCAAAGAATAAAAAAAATACTGTTGCAAATCATGCAATGCCTACTTCTATTTCAAAATATTAAATGTTTTTCTTTTTGCATAAAAAGATATTACCATATAGGGTCTATTAGATGATTCTACCAAATTGACATATAATTAGTTGAAATAAAATACATATTGGCTAATCCGAATTTTCTCTGTTTTTCCTAGATTTTTAGGATATATTAGTTATTCTTATATGCTTTCTATATATAAATTTTTCATATTTTCACATATGGCAAAGTAATCATATAAAGATGCAAACTGATACCAAGAAAAAGTTTTGACCGTTTACTAAGAGAGAATATCACTTTTTACAGATTTTTTGCTCAGATCTGTATTTAGATTGGAAGCTTTTAAAAGCTAACAAAATTGTAGTTTGTTTGGAAAATTATATTTATTTGATATATTTTAAAACTTCACTCCATTATTATTAATTTTACTCACATTTGAAATTTTCTTAAAGTCTTTGATTGTTTAAAAATTTTAACTAAATTCATTGTTCTATAGTAATTTTGAGAAGCAGAAAAGGATTTCGACGCTGTGGAATTGTAAGGTCGTAAGTGCCACTAACGACCTTATTAAGATATTTAGATCTTCAATATGTGAACAGTAAAATACATCTTCTATAAAAAGTTCATGGTTAGATCCCGTATAGTTACCATGGTAACACAAATTATTATTTTGTCGTATCTACAACCCTTAGATATGAAAGGTTGTAAGTGGCACATACGACATTATCCGTTACTCTGCGATTGAATCTAAATGGTCGTATGTGGCAGATCCGACCTTTAATTTAAACTTCCGGTACTATTTGTAAACATTATTTGCTGATGGTTGTATGCATAAAATAAAGAAAAAAATGAACAGATGGTTTTTATATGAAATATATACTAATTAAAAATAATTTTTTCAAAAGGAATTTGTTTTTAAGAATCTGATATTAAAATGCAGCCTCAATGTGGAATTTTTATTTTAAATGTACTATATCTGCCTGTAGGATTCTTGACAGAAATTGTTTGTAGATATAAATGTGCAAAAAAAAACATTTACCAATGTACTTTATTTGGCAGAAGCTCCAGTTTGTCAAAATCACTAAATAAAACAAACAGCAAAATATAATACATTTACAGTATTTAAAAATATGCAAAATTTATCATATTCAAAGTAAAATGATATGCGGTATTTACAGCCTTTTTTGCTGACATTTCTTTGCGATATCTGCACCCAAATGAAAAAAAATATAACTTAAAGATTATAAGAGACTTCAACTGGAACAAATAAACTCTGATGTCCTATAAAGTGATGACTCTATAGTAGTTACAACCTGTGAATATGTCATTTGCTGAACGGTTAAGACCCTATTAATTTTCAAAAATAGTCAATGCAGATATAACTGTCATTTCTTAACCCGAAAAAAAAAAATTATCAGCCAGCTAAAAATTGTAAAGACGATAATAGTATGATATCGTAAAATTTTCAAGGAAAAAATACAATGAATAAAAATCTCCATTAAAGAAAAACACCTTTAAATAAGGAAAGAAAAACTACAATATGAACATAGAAAGAGTGAAAAAATCCCTCTTCATTTTTTAGACTCAACTTTCAGGAATAAAACAACCAGAAATTGATAACAACGGAAAATGAAAAAATAAAAATGATGTAACACAAGCAAAGGAAAATTCAGAGTTATGCAATTTGATCAAATTTGCTATTCAAAACGAACTGGAAAATGTGGTGGCTCTTCAATTGAAGACATACAATTAGAAGATGTCTGGAATGAAGTTTATTCAAATGTAGAACTCGGCGGTGGGGAATAAAATCACTTACGGTAGAATTGAAAATGAAGACATCCTTTCTTATATGAATGGTGATAGACTGTTTAATCTAGATGATGATGATACTGTTATTTTTGAAATAGGTCGATTCCAATATATTGTTAGTATATGCTGTAACATTTCGATGTTAAACCAGATTTGAATGATGCAAGTTTATTTCACCAAACTTTAAAACGAACAAAAAAGGAAACCGTATCTACACCGTCTGATCATACAGACCTGTTGCTCTATGGCCTTGACATCACAAAAAAGGATATTGAATCCAGTAAAATGACATATAGAGGAAAGCAGCCAAATTGCACCAATTATTCTTTTCTGTAACTATAGTCACATCATTGCACTGCCAGGAAAGATAGATTAAACTGTTTCTCGAAGAACACATTCATTAAGAATTCGTACAATCTATATTAGAAGGCATATGAATCAAAGTTAAATTTGAGCTGTATGTCAATATATTCTCTAAAGAAACATCTTTGATTTTGATCGTACAGAAAAGCAGGTCTGCATATTCTGACGCATTTATAAATTGTCCGACTAAGAAAAAGACGAGAAAGAATACGATGTAGCAACACAACCGGAACAAAGGGAGGTCGATAGCTAAATAAAAAGTAAAATTTTCACATTATGATTTATAAAAATATCCCGATAACAGCAAAAATATTTGTCAGTGTTGCCTACTTCAGCAAGAGGTTGTTCACTTTAAATTTTAAAAAAATAATAATGATACAAAGTATTTTCAGTGCTTTGAATGAAACGAAACTGAAAAAAAAAACATGGCTGTGGGGAAATTGTTTTAAGTATTTTAAATACAAAAGAATGGATGAAGTTATATGCATGTATTATTTAAATTTACTGCGCCCGACAACAAAGAAATTTGCATTTTGTAGTGAATGCAGTATTTTGTAACAAACTTTCAAATCAGCATCATACACCTCGTAATTATTTCAAGAGAGGATATTTGCAAATGGAAAGGGACAAAAGGGAATGCCACAAAAAGCTTCAAAATATATAGTGCTGATGATTAATTGTGGTAATTAAGACTTCTAGGTGGACAACATCCAAAATATGGCTTTTGGTAATAAAACATTATAATTTTGATTTTTACCTTCAATGAATATATTCAAAAGCTAAAAAAGAAATTTGATTAAGAGACTGCATTCTGGAACAAGATACTTTCATTGTAATACGGAAAAGCCATCACACGTGACACATATACTTCAATGGACTAAGAGACGAAGTTCCTCAAAAGGTCTCGGATCCCAGTTTGATTTTTCTCGAGAAAAGTAACATATGAAAAGATTTACGTGCACTCATACCATTAATTGAAAGTATCAAACCCTTTACCCTGGTCTCTCATATTAAAGTCAGAGACAACGCTCTCTTACAACCAAATTCGAAACGGATAAGTTAACAATATAAATATTCCACAGTACAATAATTTAATTGGGACATTTCTATTATATTCAGTTTGGAGAGTGATTGTTTTTATGTTCTTTAGGTATATAGTTTCTTTCAGTGTAATGCATGTTAAAGGTATAAATATATCTTTACATTTAATAGTTTCCGACATGTTTCAACCAAATAAAATGGGAATCCCAAATGGTTTCTCAAAATTTTCATTTCTAATGCAACGTTTTAGAGTAATTACCCCTGGGTATCTCTACTTTAAACTATAAACATCTAATTTTATAAGATTTTGAAACGTCGGAAGTGCCACTTACGACCTAAAACTAGTTGTTTTATTGCGTAATCTTTCAGCTATAACGTCGTAAGTGGCAGTTACGACACTTCATATCTGATATAATAATTACTGAAAGGTCGTATCTGCAAAAAATCTGCTTGTATTAATAATTTTCATGTGTTAATTGGATTAAAAATATGTTTTCTGATACCCTAAAAACAAAAATAAAACACCCTTCAACTTTATGTCCACAGTCATTTTATATATTCTTTGAAAAACAGTTTTTATCGCCTCCTGTAAAGTACGAAAATTCCACATACGACCTTTCAATTCCACAGCGTCGATTTTTCATGAAAGTATAATATGATAGATTGTGTACATATTATAATTTGCATCATAGATGCATATATAATATCTATGCGTTTATAATAACAGAAATATCAGCTTTTATGAATTAAAATGACTTAAATACACAATTTTTAATCACAAAATGATGATGATATTTTCAAATTCGAAAGCATTTTAATTTTCGTAAGCAGTATTTAATGATCAGGAACGCCACTAGTATATTTACCTGCGTATTTAGATTTTTCGAAAAAGGCATCATGTATGGAAGGAGCCGTGGTGTGGGGGGGGGGGGGGGGGCTGCATTATTTTCCATGCTTACTTGGAATTGAAATTTCCAGAGAGGGGTGTCGACATTTTCAGAATTGTTAACATGCACAGTCTGTTTTTTTTAAATGTTCAACACTCAATAATGTTTAAATTAGTGGGTTCAAAGTTGACCAGGAGTTCATGACCCAGGACAAGCTTCAGTATAATTCATTTTGTAGTAAAATCCAATACATTTTTATTCGTTTTGTTTACTCAAATTGACCATAAGTATCTTGAAAGTACTTTGGCGTGTCTGTTGAATACTCTGTTGAATTCAATAGCTGGAGTTGATTGATTGTTGATTTACGTCCCGTTCGAAATTTTTCATTCATAATAAAGACTTCACCTATACCGATGAAGGCCTTTCCTCGACACTCAAGACAATTGAGCAGTGAGGGATCGTTATCGTGCCAACGCCTACCGTGACAGGGTTTTTAAGGTCTCAACCAAAAGACCCACAACTTTCACTTCAAAAACGCTTGGCGAAGGAACAGTTGCTCTCCATATTTTATCGACTTAAGTCTGTCGCAACCGGGCTTGAATCTACGGCCTTCCGATCACGGAGCGAGCACTTTACCGACTGAGCTACTGTGACGGTCTGCTGGAGTTGAAGTCCTTTGGGAAAGGATAAATTCACCAGTAACACACGTTTCGGCTTCTTTACCTGTGAAAATACTGTAGATATATTACCGTAATTGTATATGCATGATTATCATAAACAACAAAAACGTTTCAAAATTATATTCAAATATTTATTACAGTTTCAGACTATGCTAATATTGAATGTAAATGAACAGTACCTAGGCACGCTTGGGGAAGTTTTAAATTGGATTCGAGAATTTTTCCTAATTTTATAATGATATTTCTGAAAAATGTTTAAATTACGAAAACGAAACACTTCATTGTTAAATGCTAGCTTCAGTAGACCTCTAACCTCGTACAATTTTTCGAAAATCCACATTTATAATATATATTCTTCGAAACAGAGTATCTTATTAGGAATAACATTCATTTCTGAACATTACAAAATCAAATGTTATTTTTGTCAAGTTTGGACATGCCGCCAACAAAAGCCCTGTAATAATTCGTCATTTACTGGATATCAGTTATTGTAAATGAAATAGAATGACTGTAAACAGATTGTACTTTGGCTATATTTGTATGTTATAGTCCATTTAATCCAAGTTCCGAACATGACACAGCGTTTATATTTTTAACAATTAACCCTAGCTGCACTTAAATATGATTAAGATTTCATCAGTACATGACTTCTAATGAATTTACATCCGGATATTTTTAATTTTTTCTATTGATATACGTTTGTATTGTATTCTTTGTTTTCCAGACAGAACATATCACACCTAAATGTAGAATTTAAAATAGAAACGACACTACGCTAGTTTAGCATTTTACCTGCAAGGGCAGAACATTACTTTTTTGTTCTACTAAGAGTTATTGCTAAAGAAATCATATACGAGTACTTGCAACAACAAAAAAATTTGCACAACTGTTACAATTGTAGTCATATGATGATTTGTTATGAGTAGGAAACACAAATTCAAGTCAATTTCAAAGGTTATGATGAAGCTGCATCTCATATGAATCAGCTTTCAATTTGCAGGTAATATTAGATGTATCAATTCTAGTAACTAGTAGATCATATACACGTAACAGTAGATCAAATACATGTGACTGTACGTCCTTTACAGGGGGCTGGAAGCACTGGGTAGGGGGAACAGATATGTTAGAGGAGGGAGAGTGGATATGGTTCCCAGGTAATACACCTTTGACGTATACCGATTGGCTCTCCACTGAACCAGACAACCAGCTGCACTCTTCATTAGAGAAGGAACACTGCATGTCTCTGTCTCCAAGTGTGTACGGATCGTACAAATGGAGCGACGAAATTTGCAGCAAACACTTGTTTTTTATTTGTGAAAGAAATGCTATAAAGACACGCCACCGTTAGCGCTAAATTTTACGATTTGAAAAAAAAGATCTTCAATTCATGTATGAATGTATGATATTTCGTAACTCATGAGTGTTTTAGATCAGAGCGATATATTTAAATCTCGGCATAGCTCGGGACAAATCAATGATGATTCAGATCATATGCATTTGCTGAGTAATGAAAATTATACATCACTGAACAGCTGTGTCCAGTAAAGGGTGGACAATATTGCGACTTCTGTTGAAAACAAAATTGTGCAATAAATTCTGAATAATCGCTTAGGTTTGTGTATGGGCGTTGCTTTAGTGTAGGAGGGCCAGCTATTTGCAGAAGAATTCGATTTGTAAATTTTAGAGGGGTTACATGTACTTGTGGAATTATGAGTCGCAGCGTTAAGGAATGAAATAAAATATTAATACGGGTTTTGTTTAGGAGACCTATATTTACATTTCTGATAATCAGAAGCCTTGTTTTTAGATTATTACCTAAATCCACGAAATCTTACGTTTTGGATTAAATTTCCAGATTTGATTTCGGAATTTATATGAGTAGGAGTTCAGAAAGACCTTGAACATATTTTTTTAAAATATCAAATTCTTATGAAAACATAGTATTAATACCTTCTACTGATATGCCAAGAATGCTGAATACTTTGACCATTTCGGAATGTAATGTCATTTGTAATAGTACGGCTATTCCTCAAATTTTCTTTGAGTGCAACAAGGTGGAATCGATACATCAAAACTGAAACTTAAATCAATATCAAATCATGGGCTTTGTTTTATTCATAGTAAGAAAATTATTTGTGCTTCACCAAGGAAGAACTATAATATATATTTATTTGTGCTTCACCAAGGAAGAACTATATATATATATATATATATATATATATATATATATATATATATATATATATATATATATATATATATATATATATATATATAAGGGATGGCGATTTGTAACCGGTTAACCGATTACTCGGTCGGAACGATGGTAATCGGTTAGTCGGGAAAAAAAATATATGTAAATTTGAACACAGTTTTCTTAAATTCATTCCTAAAAAAGAAACCTCTACATTAATATAGTAGTGTATATAAATTAATACAACTATTTAGCGCTCGAAATGTAAAGGAATTAAGGGGTCTTGGAATTTTTTTAAGAGAAGCAAGTCATATACGGGAAAGTAAATTAGAACTACATATATAATATTAATTTTTGAAGAGTGAATTACTATGTCACAACAATATATATATATATATATATATATATATATATATATATATATATATATATATATATATATATATATATATATATATATATATATATATATATATATATATATATATATGTAAACATTTAATCTCAATGTCATTTTAAATTGTGTGAATATATTGTAATATATATTATATATATTCTCTTCTTTAGCCATGTCAATTATGTATATACTATATGTAATTACATGCATGTAATTATGTTTCTCTGATGTATCTGTTGATACAAGGAATAAAAGAACTGAACTGATTAAAGTTAATAATTTAGCTTTTTTCACATATCTATTTAAGCTTATATGGAGGTAATTATGGCTCTCCGGATGGAGATCACGGGATAATTGGTCAGTTTGTGAAGTGTTCATTAATGTTTTTAAAAACACCAAGCCGTTACCCAGACTGTTCTATAATTCTTTAATTATATTGAACAAATCACCGTTGCGCACTGTGACTTGATATGACTATCTTTTGCCGTTATCTTTTGAATTATATTATTAGACAAACATTATAAATTAGTATATATATATTATATTATAATATATATATATATATATATATATATATATATATATATATATATATATATATATTAGGGATGTTAAGGACATTGGCAAGGTTCCTGGTTATTGTATAGAATTTTTCAAGAACTTTTGAGTAGGTTTAAATGTACTAAATAGGCTATATTCTGGATCGTTTTACCTACTAATCCAGCATTCTTTTTTAGATTTTGTCAAATTAGTGTTTTTACAATTCTTAATGCATTTCCTATGTAAAATGTTGATAAAAGGGACCTACATAAATTTTCACCATAATATTTCTTCAAAACCCATTTATTTCATACAGTTTTTGTATTGTATACATTATTGTAACTTCATTTCCTATGACTTCTAGATATTTTGGTTGAAAATGTATATATAGAAAAAAAGACATGGATATACCGGCACCGATCATCATTTTTGAGTTGCGTCCCTTAACAGCTAAAATTGGTCAAGTGACTGGTTGATTGTTTTTATCATGTAATTGACTGAATTGATTGAAATACATTGTCATAAAAATATTGACATGGATTTATTTTTAACTTTTATTCGTAATTACTAAATGCTGATTCCTTCACACGACCTAAGAACTGTTCTCAGTCGGCATGGTCGACCTACCTTCCAGCATATGTCACATCTTTGCCCTTCCCAGCATACTGAGCATAACTATGGTAAATGACGACCTGTTTGCTCTTTGTCCCTGAATACAATGTACAACAAAGCCATTACTACTTTTCTTTCTTGCTGTATAGAAGATTCTACCCGTTGAAGGAAGTACACGTGCTTTTGTTTACCTCTATAACATACGCTTTACTGGTTTTCACCGCTTAGAGAATTCTACACGGGAGATCACTCTCAATCACTATTTTACAAGTGAAAAAACCCATGTATTAAACCTTTTTTCTCCGGAAAGCCCTGACTTGCCAATGTCCTTAATGAATAATCGACTATTCGACTATCAGTCGAATGGACCGACGATCGAATAATGAAACGACATTCGAATATTATTATAATTTAATAAATGCAATAAAAGAGTGATAACGAGATGGAATTCTCATCAGAAATTGAGAAACCACCTTCCTCAGAGACAGTCGATAAGGTTATTTTCCTCAACAAAAACGGTTGATTTTCCATGTACGCATAAAAAGTACAGTAATTATAAGTGCTACACAGCTTCGAGAATTTTTTTGGTCAGTAACGGCCTGTGTTGTTTTTGTAATAAATAACCCACCAATATACTGGGCTTTGTTTGTAAAAATATTAATTAGACTTGATCTTATGCCATGTACCCATTATCTTTTGTTATTTTAAGATTGCTTAAATGCAAGGAACAAACCATAGCTGTGACATGTTTTGACACTTCGATAATTATTACAACAATTCGCTTCGAATTTAAACTGTTTTAAGGACTTTTTGATAGCAGCAATCAATAATTGAATAATCATTATCTAACTGTTTAACAGTTTCATAGGCATCTTACTCGTGGATAGTGTGAGATTAAATACCCCCCCCCCCCAATTTATTTCATAAAAAGTTTTTAAAAAATAACGGCTGGCAAATCTTTAATCTTGCTAAAATAAAAACTGACTGCATGTACAGACCGATTTATGAATTCAATTGACGGGGAAATCATACATTTTGGGGAATTAGGTGTCTAAATTCATTTCATTTACTCATGCTATCCACGCGTTGTAAGTTGCATTAATGTTAATTTTAAACAGATTTAAGAAAAAAGGTTTTGGGGTTATAAATACGTCATGTACGGAAGCGTATTAGTGCCACTTGGACACTTTATTTTTTTTTAATTTCCACACTTTAATGTGTAAATTTTACACTTTAATGTGTAAATTTTACACTTTAATGTGTAAATTTTACACTTTAATGTGTAAATTTTACACTTTAATCTGTAAATTTTACACTTTAAACTGTAAATTTTACACTTTAAACTGTAAAATTTACACTTTAATCTGTAAATTTTACACTTTAATCTGTAAAATTTACACTTTAAACTGTAAAATTTACACTTTAATGTGTAAATTTTGCACTTTAATCTGTAAAATTTACACTTTAATGTGTAAATTTTACACTTTAAACTGTAAATTTTACACATTAATCTGTAAAATTTACACTTTAATCTGTAAATTTTACACATTAATCTGTAAAATTTACACTTTAATCTGTAAATTTTACACTTTAATGTGTAAATTTTACACTTTAATCTGTAAAATTTACACTTTAATGTGTAAATTTTACACTTTAAACTGTAAATTTTACACATTAATCTGTAATATTTACACTTTAATCTGTAAATTTTACACTTTTATCTATTGATTTTACTATTTATACTTAATTTTATATTTCACAGAAGCATGGAGCCATTTCTACGGAAACGAGGCGTTGACGAAGACACTTTAAGAGCTCTTAGGGATCAAAAGGTAAGCTATTTGACTTTGTTAATAACAATGTGATGAAATATACTTGAATGGTAGTTAAAATAAGGTGAGTTAAGTAAAAAGTTCTAATGTGAAAAATTATCTGCATTTGATATGTATGTTAGATGTACAATATGTTTGTTAGAAGTACAATATACCGGTAACTGCACTATATGGACTTGTATATTTTAACGCTAGCAACATAAATTCTAGCAAAAAAAATACGTGCAATAAAACTGCTACACGTAGTATTAAACTAATTAACATTGATAGATTTTATAAAAGCCACTCTTGTCCCTAAAATTTAAGTCATAAGGAATAATTTTGCCTATAAAATCTTAAAGGTTGACGCCAGAAAAACTGCATTTAATATTGCATCACACTTGAGATGATTTCAGTATATTATATAGTTGAAATTAACATGATCCTGAACATAATTATAAACCTACTTTCGTTTTCGATAATGTACATTGTACTCCGAGATAAGTGGTCGAAATACTTTGTCGGCTCAGTAAATCAGTAAATAGTAAATGATATTTATTAACTCTTTATTTATCATTTATTTATTAAAAATATTTTTTAAATGTTTTCTTTCTTAGATGGTCTCGACATAGTGACTTCGTTAAAGATATTACAGCCAAATGTGTAGAGGCTGGTTTTTTAATGTACGTAGCGGGAACGGAACACTGTTTACAAAATCAATTAATTTTTTCCCGGTTTATGAATATCAGATATATTGTACACACGTCTATATAGTTTTACCCGAGTTATGCATGTAATAGCAGGTATACAATTTTGCTTTGCAAAACTC